ACACTATACAGACCCACGCTCACACGCGCATTCATATATGTGTGTGCGCACACACCAACAAGATTCAGGCCAAATGTATGGTAGAGTTAAAAACTGAAGGCTCACAGCACAGGTAGGTCGAGGCAGTGCTGGCAGAGAATGCTGCTGAGAACTGACAGAATACTGCCAACAGGAAGCAGGAGGACCGAGTGTCTTTAGTGGGTGGATTAACAGGCTGGTGTGGGGCAGCAGGAGCTTCAGAGCCTCTCATACCGAAGGAGCTCATTTCTGAGGCAGATTCGGTTTCCATGCCTTAGGTCCAAGCTCCATCTCATGAGCAGATGGATTGCTTCATCTCTAAGGCAAATCAGGCTCCAGTTAGTAACGTAGGTGTTCCTTTCTTCTTATAAGGGATTCTTGTCTTACCTCCCAGATCTTCTCCAGCTGTTCAAGGATGTTGGAAACCCCAGGAAACAAAGGTTGACCCTGGAACATTTCAATAAAGATGCAGCCTGCGCCCCTGGCAAAGGAAGCAAGACATCTATAAGGAGGCCGTTCATATAAAACTGAGTATCTACAGTGTCTTCTTCTGAGAAATACTTGGATACTGCTAAATAGGGACCACGTGTTATTAAAAACCCAGAGCCAGAAAGTTCCTAAGTGAGGACAGTAAACGGAAAGAGATTTTGTTCTTGCAGAGCAAAGCCAGCTGCCGTCAGGCGCATGCTCCGGTTATAAAGCTTAAGGCACCTCAGCTCACCAGCTCTCCATCCTGTGGGTGGGAAAGCCCCAAGCACCCAATTTAAATAATTAAACCCAAGATGCTACCTCCATAAGATGTTAGGGTATGTGCCATTAGGAGAGAGAAAAAGCACATTGCTTCATAACTACATACAATTATTCTGTGTCAACTAAAAACTTAAAAATGGTTTTGAAGATCCCTGGGTATAGTGGTGCACGCTATAGCCCTAGTCTCTGGGAGGCTGAAGCAGGAGGGAAAAGATTGCAACCCTCACACACACACACACACACACACACACACACACACACACACACGCTTTCTCTCACACGCGCACACACACGCACACACACGCACACTCACCCTTTGCAAATTCTATTATGATGTGGTCAAGAGGCTTATTTTATCCTTACTGGAAGGATTGTTATAACTGTAATTAAACGTAGGTTACTTTCTAATATATACCATACTTGTACATGCAAAAACATGAACGTTAAAGTGAAATAAATTGGTTTGAGCATTCCTAAAACTTCTGCACGTTCAGCATTTGGTTCGGACCCTCTGCTGGGCTAACCCACGGTATCAGCTTCTGTGTTAAGAGCCGGTGATGCAGCACGTCTTAAAACAAGCCATGGAAGAGCTAAGAGTCACCGCTCCGAGCTTCTCAGTGCCTCCACATTTATACAGCTAGCTTGCTCTTGGCTCCTGCCTGAGGACAATTGCTAAACATGTCTGATTCCCTTCTCCAAACCATTTGGCTCCTAAGGGGTTTAAAACAAAGCAAACCTTGTGTGCAGATTTTCCTTCAGTCACTGACATTCATTCTGTAAGTTTTTATTTTTCCAAAGATTTTTTTTTTTTTTTTTTTTTAGTGTGTATGTGTGAGTGCCTGGACATATGTAGGAACACCAAGTGTGTGCCTGATACCCATAGAGGCCAGGAATAGGGCATCAGATCCCAGGGACTGGAGTTAGACAGTCGTGGGCTGCCCTGTGGGTGCTGGCAATGGAACCCCAGTCCTCTGGAAGAGCTGTAAGTGCTCTTAACCTCTAAGCCATTTCTCTAGCCCCTCCCTTACTTATTCTGCCATCCTCATGTGATATAATCAGGAAGACACTTTAAGTAAAACATTTTTGTTATAAATGATCACAGTAATAAATATTTATTATGAGGTTCATTTGAAATATAGCCTTTAGTAGTATTCACACAGTTACTTTTTCTAGGCATAATCTCTTTAGTTTACTTTTCAGTGATTGTGTAGGGGAAGGCATATTTCTTGAGAATTAAATTTTAAACTAATTCTTATCTTGTGTTTTATCTGAGGGTAGAAGATGTGTTAAAAGAAAGATTGAGCTGGGCATGGTGGCATATGCCTTTAATCCCAGTACTCAAGGAGGCAGAGGCAGATGGATCTCTGTGAGTTCAAGGCCAGCCTGGTCTACAGGGTGAGCCCCAGACAGCCAAGGCTACACAGAGAAACCTTGTCTCAAAAAACAAAAACAATATACAAACAAACAATAACAACAAAAAATAATTCCTCTGTGGCTTTTAAAAATATTTTGGGATATATATATATATATCAGAGGACCTGAGTTCAAATCCCAGCACCCACATGGTGGCTCACAACTATCAATAATGTGATCTGATGCCCCCTTCTGGCATGCAGGTGTACATGCAGATAAAACACTCATATACATAAAATAAATCTTAAAAAAAAAAAAAAGAAAATGAAACCCTCTCAAAACACAAAATATCTCCCACCATCACAAACAAAATGACCCAACATAGTTATTCCTAAGTTTGAACCTGCAGCTCTCCTGTTTTTCCATCCTCCCAAAGGTCTCTTTTCTATGGTATCTTCTTTTTGGGGGACTTCTCAAAGTTAAGTACCACTAAGCCACAGCCTGAGACCCGCCTTGTTTTTTATATTTGTGACTGTGGGACGCCAAGAAGGAAGTCTTTTTGTTAGACAATTTTGTGCATCCTTTATCATCTGGACAAGGATGACGTACAAAGTTACATAAAGTGTACTTGGAAAAACCCTAGAACATTTGAACCATTATGTAAGCAGTACAAGATAGCATGGGGTCTTAGTGTTCTAGAGGAAAATGCTAATGTTTAGTTAAAAATTTTCCCATTTGCATTTTAAGGTAGCTTGAAACCTTTACTGAACAAATCTAGAGTCTGAGGATACTCACATACATATCATATACAGTATCTATAGCATGTATACTCTTATGTACATATGTGTACAATATAGATATGCACATATATATGCTTATATAGATGCTTTACAAATAAGACAGAATCCTGAATCAATTGTGTTTCAGTACCTGGAAGATCCATTAAGTACCATCAGTGCCTAAATGAATATTTAATTATTTCATCTAATGCTTTATTTAAAAGAAAGAGGTAGATACTTAAATATGTCAGTGAGTTTGAGCTGAAAGTTTTAAAGCTGAAAGATATTTCTGGATATAACTGTTGTTTTGAAAAAAAAAAATCCAGCCTATCGTCCTGTTATGCAATTTGTTTTTCAGAACCCTGTTAGTTTTTCTTTGTTTTTTTCAGCTTAAGAATACGGGTCACGCACACGCACACGCACACACGAACACACAAAGTGGGGGGCTGGAGAGATGGCTCAGAGGTTAAGAGCACTGTCTACTCTTCCAGAGGTCCTGAGTTCAGTTCCCAGTGACCACATGGTGGCTCACTATCATCTATACAGGGATCTGAGGCCCTCTTCTGGCCTACAGGTGTACATACAGATAGAGCATAAAATTAATAGATAAATCTTGACAGTGGGCAAGGCTCAGGCCTGTAATCAGTTCAAAAATCAAGACAGCCAAGGCTACACAAAGAAACTCTGCCTGGAAAAACTTAAATAAATAAGTAAATAAATAAACAAAATAAAGAACAGCCAGGTCAGGTCACAGCCAGGCTCGGTGGCCTAGGCCTTTAATCCCGAAATTTCAGGAAGCAGAGGCAGGTAAGGTCTCTGTGATTTCAAGGCCAGCCTAGTCTTACAAAGTGAGTTCTAAGACAGCTAGAGCTACATAGAGAAATCATACCTAAAGAAAAAACAAAACAAAGGGCTGGAGAGATGGCTCGGCCGTTAAGAGGACCAGAGGACCTGGGTTCAATTCCTAGCACCCACATGGCTGCTTCCAACTGTCTGTAACTCCAGTTCCAAGGGATCTGACACCCTCACTCAGACAAACACGCAGTCAAAACACCAATGCATATTTTTTTAAAGTTAAAAAAAGAAAGAGAAAACAACAAAAAAGTACAGGCTCTCAAAACTAACGGCTATTTTGCCTACCCCAGACTCTGGTGGGCAGGGGAGGGCAAGGCAACGCTTTAAAATTTCACCACATCCAGGTACAGCTAAGGCATCAGTTCCTACTTCCTTTGATTCTTCAGGTTTGTTTTCAGTCTTTATTCTTGTGACTCTTCTTATGCCCTGCGTGTCCTTGTGCTTCCGGTGGGTTTCCAGTCCGTGAGTACCAGAGGGCAGATGGGATGGAGTGGGAAGGCAGCCCCTGGGATGGAGGCCTCACTCAGTGGGGGACAAAGAGCAGGTGGCCTCAAATAGTGCAACCTTTCAGATCCTGGTGAGTTGGCAGGGGTCAGTTTATGGCTCCAAACGTTGCTCTTCAAGTTAGAACAAACAGCTTCAATGTTTTCTGGCTAACTTCCGAATTTTTTTTCTCTCTCTATTCTAAGCAAGAACAAATTCTTCCAGAAGAAAAAGATTCCTCAAATTCCTTCAGCAATCCCCTAGGGGAGAAAAACATCTCAGGAGTCTTTAGCGTTTCAGAGATGTGAGGAGCATATAAAAATTCTGTTGGGTGAAATAAATCCATATTTCATTTTAACTGTTGAAGTTAATTCACAGTGACATGATATATGGCAATAACACATTTCTAGTTACTCTCCTTGGGCCACGTTTTTGGGCCACGTTTTATGTCTGAAAGTTTGCCGTAAGAAGCCTGAAGGTGCAGAATCGGGCAGGGACTGCTTTCCATAATCAGAAAGCCAGCAGACACCAGAAGTCAGCACTGAAGAGAGGACACTGTTTCACAATCAAGCCAGTCAAGTGTGCTAGGGGCTCCAGAGGTGGTGCAGTGGTTAGAGCACTGGCTGCTCTAACAGAGGGCCCGGGTTCTGTTCCTGGCGTCCACTTCTGGCAGCTCGTTAACACCAATAATTCCAGCTCCAGGGGATCCAAGATCCTATTCCTGCCTGCATGAATGTACACCCCTTTCCTCCCTCTCCCCAACCCCTCACACACCACACAAATAAGTCCTAATGAAAACCTCAGTGTAGTAGACCAGGATAAACTTAAAAACATGCTAAATGAAAGAAACCAGACATGCAAGGGCAAATATTGGCATGGTTCCAGTTATGTGAAAGAGACAGAACAGCCGAGACTACACAAGTGCAGAAAGTGGTGTTTCCCAGGGGCTGATGGGAGAGTTGGTGGGAATTTAACGGTTAATGAGCACAGGTTCACTACGGGATAACGAAAGCTTCTGGAGAAACACAGAGACCACGGTCACATGACACAAATGCACCGACTACCACTATTTTCTATTTTAAATGGCAAAATACGCTGTTTTATGTTATGTGCATTTTAATATAATCCCTGCCCCTCCACCCTTCTCCCAAAGCAAGCAAACAGAAAATGACCACGGGGTGTTGTAATGATCCTAAAACATCTTTTCTCCCCACAGTCCCTGACGAGGGACTTCTGAGGTCTGAAAAGGACAAGGAGAAAG